ACGCGAATATTGTGAATTTTGGATAAGCAATCTATAAATGCCACATAGAAAAGCATTTCTGTCTAATCGATGCTAATGATAAAAGCATTTGGCATAAACAGCGGTAAAAAACTAAAAAAAATATATGTAACTGAGGCGACTGCATTGATCAGGTTGAATGAGCAATTCGTTGATAATGGCCGCTAAATAGTTGTATAAAAAATACTTGGTATTATAGATTGGAGGACGAGTCGGCCGCCGTTTCGGCCACGTTGTCATCGATGCCGGCGCTGCCTGAGTTGCAGCTGCCACGATTGCTGCGCATCTGCATCAGCTGGCCAATGAGATCGAGCAGCTGGTCGTCGGTGAAGCTGCTTTGCTGCAGTAGCTGCTGTATCAGAGCGGTACGCTCCGCTTCCTGGCGTACCATCGTGGGCACCTGAGCCAACAGATTGCTGCGGCAGCTGTTGTTGATCTTCGATTTGGCGCATATGTACTCCAGCACAGAGTTGGGATTGAGGCGATCGCACACGACCGAGGACAGATTCTCGCGCACCGCATGGTCCAGGAAGTCTTTAGAATGATTCTCGGAGAGCGTTTCCAGCACACTGGTCTTCAGTTTATCATTGCCCTTCATCTGATTCGATAGAAATTTGGCCAAGGTAAGTGCGCTCTTCAGGGGAGAGTTATTCGACTTGGCCATGAAACGCTCTAGCACTTCGTCTAGCGAGCATTGCTCCACAGCCAGGTCCAAGGCGGACTCTACGTCCATTATGGCCAGATCTTGTGGAGCTGTCGCTGCTGCGGTCTCTGAAAGATCCTTTTGCACTTCCTTCTCTGCTGCCGTTGTGTCATTCCATTTGAGCGAATCGAAAGGCTCATCCTCCGTGGCATCGGAGGATGACTTGTCCATTGACTTGTCCAACGCAGCACTCCGGGCTGTCTGCTCATTAGCAAACCTCTCGATCTCGATAATGCTGTCCAGCCTTCCACGTCGCTTCAATGCGTGCCGCAACTCCGGGTTCTGGGCCACCTTGTCGAGCACAAGGACGCGCTTTGGTTTGCTGCTGCGAGACTCCTCCACATCACGCAGATACTCCTTCGTTATAGAGACGGGTGGATCGTGGAAGCTCACACGCTTACGCTTCTGCGCCGGCGATTCAAAATCGTCGATGCTCTCGCAGCGCAGCTTCCGTTTTAGTATTGAGGCCGAGGGACTGGCCGAAGGCGAGGGCAGACGCTTGGAAAATATTAGCAAATCCTTCGCCACTTGCTCTATGGGTGTGGACGTGTGCTCGGCCGCAGCTAGTTCGTTCAGCTCGCAGGTGGGTGTCGACACCTGCTCGGAGCGCTCAATATGACGAACGGGCGTCGCATGGCTGCGTGTTGTCGATGAACCGCCTAATGGATAGGCTGCGCCAGCATCCAGTTTCTTATTCCGTATCATGTTGATCAGCTGCGCCCCGCGCCCCGTTAAATGAGCCGACGGCTTGGGGCGCAGCGTGGGACTTGTCGAGTTGTTTGTCTGTTTGCGATCCGGCGGCGAGTTCTGCAAGGAATTAATGGATTCAGTTAGTATGTCGAGTTGATTTTTTTGTGCCTGATTTCTATTAAAGCTGAACTCACCAAATTGCAGAGTCGCGCATTTGGCTTCTTCGGCGAGGTCTCTGCATTCGTTTCCATCTGTTCCGATGGCAACTGTGTGCTGGCTATCGATTCCACAGCATGTTCGGATGAAGAAGCACTAATCTGCGTTTCCGGCACACTTGAGGGTTTTTTGGTCAACTCCGGCAGCACCTGTGCAGGCAGTGTAGGGGTTACGAAATCGGCAAACAGATCCTCGCTCTGCATTGGGGTGAGTTTGGCCTTCTTGCTGACAGCTGTGCGAAGAGAAAGAGAAACAGAGGGAGAGAGAAAATTGAAAACATGAGCTAAACAAATTATTTGCTGATGGTTTTTAGATATTACCTGCTACAGCTGCAGCTGCTGCTGCTATTGTTGTTGTTGTTGTAGTATCCGTAGTTACTTGAGGGTTCGATGATTGCTTCCTGGGCGAACGCAGTCGTTCAGTAGGCGTGGCCGGCTGTTCGCCATTGTTATCCTTTAGCGCGGACCGCTTGCGCGTCAGACGCCCAGGTGTATTGTCACTAGAAGCAGTTGGAGAAACTGTTTTGGGCTCCTCATCGACTTGGCCGCGTGGTTTACGGAAATTGTATTTCTCCGTATTGGCATTGCCGGACTCGCTGTTGGCTGCTTCGCCCAACTGACGCCGGCGTGCAGGCGTAGTCACAACTGGAGTGGACAGGTCTTCAGATGGTGAGTCGTCAATGGTAACAATCTCATCACTGTTCGGCTGCTCTGCATTGCGATCGCCGATAATGGAGATCTCGGATTGTTTGCCCTTGGCAATGACTACCTTCTTGGGTGTCCAGGGCTTGATGGAGGAGTCCTGCGACTGGCTCATATCATTGTAAAGAGCTGGTATGTCCGATTTCTCGGCAAAGCGCTCCTTTTGGCGATCTGTGAGCTTGTCCGGATTCAGGCTCCAAACAGAGGGTATGATAACGAACAGATCATCGCCCTTGAACAGCTCCTTTAGCTGATGGGCCATGGTCTTCATGGGCAGCTTCCGGAACCTCTCCTGTATGGCACGCTTCCACTCGTTGAGAAAGCTGCCCTCGAATTTATTTTTGCTCCAGCATTGAAGTGCTGCTGTTAAAACGGGCTTGAGTGCATCAAACACGACCATCAGCTCGTTCTGGCGCAGTTCCAGGATGACATTTCGTAGTGTATTCAGGCAGCCCTCGAGCAGTGACTGCGTCAGCGCTGAACGCTCGAAAACAGCTTGGATTAGGGCAAAGACATCCTTATAGAGCGGTGGGTCCTTGCAGATGCCCAGCTTAAGTACTGCTCCGACATAGATATCAAATAGCTCTGCGAAATGCGGCTCCTCTTTGCTGCCATTCTTCAGCAGCTCAAGCAGCGCACCCTTCAGTTCCACTACAAAATTCTTGCGTCCACTTCCATTCTGGCCAGCGTTGATAAGTTGTCGCCACTGCTCGCAGAAGACTCCATCGAAATAGCTGCTGGCGCGTCTGCAAGCAAAGCTGGCGCTCGTCTGCAGAGGCCACAGAATCCATCTGTCCACGAGCGCCGCATTGTGGGCCACGCGGTATTCCAGTGCATTGTCGCGCAGGTAGTTGAGAAGTGCTCCAGATACCTGGCGCCACATCTGCAGCTTGATGCCAAAAGCCTCGTAGTCCTCGTCATCATTGTTTTGCATGAGCACCATCGCAAAGCCGGACAGCTGGCGAAATTCGATGCTGTTGCGCGCTTCTAGCTGCTCCGGCGCGTAGATCAACGAGATGCAGCGCTGCATTATGGCAGCTGGCACCTCAGCGCGTGCCTTGAGGCAGAGTTTCATGAAGGCCTCCAGCACCTCTTGGGAGTCGGCACGCTGCTGTGGCATGGCTATGCTAGCGCAGGCATTGAAAACGGAGCGGAGAATGCTGCCATCCTCTGACATCGTCTTCTCTAGCTCCGCGCAGCAGGCAACTGTGAAGGGCGCCACACGTAACTGGAACATGGCTAGCGTCAGATTGCGCAGCAGCAAATGCAGCATCTCTTGCTCCGTCTCTGAGCAGCTCTCCTTGCTTTCGCTCATCATTTTCATGCCGGCCACTGCGGCTGCTAGCATGGGTTGCCAGTGCTGCTGCATCAGCTCAGCGTTCATTAGAGGCGATGGCTGGCTAATCTCCTCGAGGCGCATGTTGCGCAAACAACACTTAAGCATCTCCGAACCGGTTTCCATATTCCACAAAGCGACCAGGCAAGGCAGCGCCAGCTCCCTCGCAGTCTGATAGGTATGCGCCAAGCCCGTCGAACTGCCACGCGAACCGCCGCCAAAAAGGAAGCTCAGAAAATACTCAACTGCATTCTCAAAGGATTTGGGCAGCTCGGCGTCCAGGCAACTGAGCAGATACCACCACACACGCACTTTTATGCTGCTCACATGAGGCGAACGGGACTGAGAGGTTCGCAGTGGTATCAGGAGCAAACGTAAACGCTTGCCCGCTCCCAGCTCATTGTAGGCGGCGAAGACCTTGATGAGCACGCGCCAGCAGAGAAACGCCTCAGAGCGAATTCCATTGTCTGGGTTGCGAAAGCCCAGTTCGACTATAGCCAGGAATTTGTTGATGTAAGTGCAGCCACGCAGCAGATCGTTATCCATGATCTGCACCAACAGCGTCCAGATCTTGTGCCAATTGTTATTCTTCGCATCGCGCATCTCGCCAATTAGCGTCGTATAGTTGTTCACGAATTCGCTGCGTATCTGGGGCCAGCATTTTGCCTCGTGTATGACAGACACGTCCAGGGCGACGAGTGCCTCGGCCATTGCAGCCACCGCACAGTTCTGTATACTGCGATCTGGGTCAAACATCAGGGGTAATATGTCACCAAGCCAGAACTGCACCAGTTCCTCATTAGTAAACGAGGTGTTAAGCAGGCCACAGGCTTTGCAGCTGCTGGCCAGCAGGTCTATCATCTACATTGTTTAAACAATTGTCGTTGTCAGCAGAGTAGATATATAACAATTCGTTACAGTTGACTTACATTGCAATAATGTTGACGTCGGCTGGTTTTAAGCATTTCTTTCGTCGACAACTGCACCGTATGATACGCCTGACCTACATCTGTGTCGATGTCCATTGTGTTGTTTGTTATTGAAGCAATAAATATTATTGAAAATTTAATACACTACTACAGTTCTCTCAAAATGATTTAACTACGCGACTAATGTGTTTGATGGCATTCATTTTTCACTAAAAGCGCGCGAACCTACGAGTTTAGGGATGAAACTAGAAGCAATACACACAGATATCGATAGTTGAGGCGCGCACTATCGATATGTGTATTACAGAGTTTTGCAACACTAAAATGCAACTTTGGAATTTTGAATGTTATCCATTTAAAATATAACGTACTTCAGTTTCTAAAACTCGAAATCAGAAAAATAAAAATAAAATAATAAGAATTAGATTTTTTATGGTATTTTACATGCCTAACTTTATTAATATGTACTTAATTAATGTATTATAAAATTAAACATTTTGTACGAGTATTATTATATCGTATAATGCGCTCCAACATATTTAAAAGTTATATATTAACATACATATATATATATTTAATTTGATTAAATACAGTGACTATATTTCTTTGCACATGAAATAGAAAACATTGCAAAAGTCCTGAATCAATACTTGTTCAGACATTTATATTCTATGCAAAATATTTACAATTTACTAAATTGTGGATATTTTTTTGAAACATTTCCTGAACTGCATCTAAATTAACTTTGTGCGTTTAGATAAAGCTGGCGCACCATGAAACAAAAAATAAAGAGAAAACAAAGGGAAGTCCCCCATGTAAAAACGCATGCAGTGAAACTGCTTTATGGCAATCGAAACGAGAAGCAGCAGTGGGTCGGATAGAAGGACGGAATATATAGTTCGAAGAAAGGACTTAAAACAAGATTTTTAAATAAGCTTTTTTTTTTGTGTATGCACTCATCATTTTGTATGCCCCAAGGGACGGTTTGCTTGTTATATTGTTGTTGTTGCTTAGTGCTTTGGATCCTTGTTATAGTCCACATAAACACGCACCACTTCGCCGGAGTACTTGCGTTGCGACGGCATGAAATAAAAGTCTGGTGTGTCAGAGCCACCATTCAAACGAGGATCCTCTCGCGATCGATCATAGCTGGAGTCGCGCTCATGTCGCGCACGTCGCTCATCGCCCCGTTCACGCTCCCGCTCCCGCTCCTGGCGCGCCGCACGTCGATCGTGCGTATAGTAGCCGGAGGGCTGCATATTAGCCGAGCTCTGCTGATAATGATGATTCTGGCGGGGCAGCGAATAGGCGCGCTCCGCATAGCTGCCACGTGAATAGGGTCCGGGTGCTGTGCTTGCAGTGCCGCCCACGCTGCTCTCCTGCATCATGGGGCGACCGTTCGAGGACCGGTTGCCATTGCCGTTGCTGCTATGCTTGCCATTTCCATTGCTATTGCTGTTGCCATTGCCATTGCTCTCATAATACATTTGGGATTTGCTGGTGGGTGAGTGGGACATGGGCAGGGTGGTCTGCTGGCTGCTGGCGGTGGAGCGATTGCGTGCCTTCTCCTTGGCCGTTGTGCTGCTGGTCATGTGCTTCTCCTCAGTTTCGCCATACGGATCGAAGGCGTAGTTCGTGTTAGACGCAAACTCCTTCCACGGGGAGTTCTGTAAGAGTTTCTCCTGCAAACAAGCAGAGCAGACAGAAGACACAGAATTAGTTTTTACATAGATCAAACTCTTAGCGCTTAACCAGTCAGCATTTGGTATGGTCTCAATTCGAATAGTCTAAACTTTTGGATCTTTCAAGTTTACTGTGCGCTAGACATCTTTGAAGGACTACTATGTACTATAGTTTTGCAACTAGAATGTGCCTTGTGCTTGCGTTTATATCAAATTTAGCTAAATTCAAAGTATGAGAAGCAGAGATAGTCCACAGATATGACACCCATGTGTGATTTGATTGTTAGGGAGCATTGTGAAAGAATAAGAATGAACTACTCAAGAATACATAGGTTTATAGTATGCAGAAATATAGTTTAGGAGCAGTTGGCCAATATATGTACACATGTATACATACATAGTATAATATTTGGTTTAGTATGAAATAGCATAGATCAAATGCTAACTGGTTTGGCTAAAAACACACAAAAGATATAGGAAAACAAACTAGATACATAGAGTGATTTGGAACGACAGAAACAGAGAAAATGTGAGTTAGAAGTAAAGCTCCAAAATAAGTAAAGTGTGAGTGAAGAATACGGGGAAATAAAAGTATTATTATTATTATTTTTGTAGGGTGTTAGCAAAGTAATCACAAATATAAATTTAATTGAGGGTTAATAAGTACAACAACAAAACAAAAAAGGAATTTAAATTACCAATGAATTCTTTATGTTCTAGAATTTTGATTTTGATAAGCACGACTCAACACACAGGCGAATATATATAAACATATATATCAATATTTATATATGTATATGTATGTATATATAGAGTACATGTATAAGGATGTCCGCGTATTTGACTAACTGTATAAGATTTATTTTATATCGTTTTTTTTTCGATTTTACTGGGCAGTTTGTAGCTCTTATTGCATTTGTTCAGGCAGTGAAAGAGAGAGAGAGACGAGTATATATTTCTTTTCTTTTTAGTATATAGTATATATATAATTGTGGTGGGTAATTTGTGTTGATAATTGTTTTTTTTTTTTTATTTGATTTTTTTTTTTATTGAGTTTTATAGATCGCTAGAAGGCTGATAGTAGCGTTGGTGTTGCCGCTGTTGATATATGCGCCATTCGTCGGGTATTACGTAAACCAGCTTTAAATAACATTATACAATTGAACAGAACATTATTAATCGTGTATGAATTGAACTTTTTAACAAAGAATCATGTGCGCGTTAAGTAAAAAAAAAAATTAATAAAATAAATAAAACAAGATATAAACTGAACAAATGGATTTTCAAGTTAATGCTAAAAGAACTCGTTTAACTAAAGTCAATGGCAAATTGATCTAAATGAATTTACCTTAGTGCTCTTGCTCTTGCGCGAGGTCTTCAGTATGGTGCAGAATGCTTGGATCAGGGCGATAAGCACCAGGGCTGCAATCAGACCTAGGACAATATACAAACGTGTCTCGGACAGATCGAAGAACGACAGCAGAGTATCCTTAGCACTCATATCGTCGGCACTCTTGACTGTGGATGCAAAAGGCAAATTAGGGCAAGGTCTAGATTCCTCTTTTCAGATGGACTCACATTCCAGCGCCTCGAAGTCCAGGAACTGTGGATCCACGGTCAGGGAGCCCACCTTGCCGGTGTTGATTTGATCCAGCAGCGCTGCCTTAATGGCATCCGCATTTTTCTGCACAGCCGCCTCGCTGCCCTTCTCTATGTTGTTGGTGTCCAGCGCATGCTGTTTCTCTACATCGGCCTTGTCGAACATGGCCTGAACCTTGGCCACCATGGAGTTCCCTTGCCTGTAAAAAAACAAAATGGAAGTTTATGTTTAAATTGTTTCATTTGTGGCGATCTGGCAGCACTGAAAGTTAGCCTTATTAAGTTGGCTGCGCCTCAGCAAAACTCAAATTGAATTCATTTAATGGGCTAGCAAATGATCTCTAGGAATACTCACTTTTCAAAGCCAATAATTTCAGTTTTATAGTAGCCAGGTATGGGGGAAAGTATGCCATTGAAGGAGTCCGAAATGGTAGCTGCCAGATTGTTGAAGTCCACGGTGCCTGGCTGCGGTGCCTCAAAGGACTCGGCCAGATTCATAAGCTTCACGCCCACGGCATAGACCAGACGCGTGGGCGCTGGAGTGCTGGTGCCCACGAATACAGCTTCCAGCTCTGCAAAGGCAAAAGCAAAGATTTCAATTGAATATTCAATATGTGACTGTAGTTCAACTTACCCTTGCCGCAGGACTTGATGCAGACACGTTGCGCCGAGATGGGTGGCACCTGCTCGTGCTTGCGTGTCTTCTTGTTGACCACGTTGAAGGCACCGCCCAGCACGGGGAAGAACAAATACAGACAATTGTCGTCCGTGAAGGATAGGTCCTGATCGTCATTGCTGACCCGCTTGCGCGTAAACTCCAAGATGGTGACGCCCTTCTCGATGCGGCCAGAGGCATTGTAAATGTCCTGGCGATCGTCCAGCTTGGGCGGCGCATAGCCCAGCACCCAGGTGTCCATCAGGAATGGACGACCGGTGCGTCCGTCCACCCAGCCGATGATGGCATCCGTCTGTGACATGCGTTGATCTGCGCTGAAGCCGATGCCCGTCCAGGTTTGTGTGTTCGAAGTTTCAATGTGCCAACGCATCTCGTCGCCGCGTCCCACCGTTTCCCAGGTGGCGTAATACTCGCAGCTGTGCTCCTGGGGCGAGCAGCTCGAGGGGTACTTCCAGTGGCCATAGCAATCGTTGTCCAGCACATTTGAGCTCAGATCGTTGCGATCGCTGCTCGAGCTGGATTTTTCTTTCTCTGCAGAGTGTTCAATAGATTAGATGGGATTCATTAGAGACTTTTCCTGGGCTTACCAAAGAAGTTGATTTGGGTAACACCACGTTGTGCATTGTGTCCATGATATTTGATCTCGTCCTGTTGATAAAAGTCCTTGGGCATTGGTGATTCATTTCCCGAGCTAGCGGCTGGCACATGCACAAAGCTGCCCGGCTCCTGACCCTTGGCCCAGATCACGTGGGTGAGCGCATCGTCCAAAGTGTGATCTGTAGGCTCGGTGGCCACCAACTTCTTGCGGAAGATAATCGTGGTCATGCCGTTCTCCTCGAAACCGGTGCCCAGCTCCAAGTTCGACTTGCCACCGAAGACCTCATCGACTCGCGGCGTGGAACGATCCCGACTGTAATAGTCACCCACACGGCTGGCCATGCCACGTGCTGCACCAATGACAACATCCGTGCAGTCCATGGGATTGAAGTCGTGGCGTGGAGTGTACGGATTAAGCTTGTACTTCGGCTCTGCGGAAATATAAACGTGGATCAGTGAACTCCTCGACTGAGTCAGGGCAATGCGATTCGTGTGAATTTTGTGTTTTATTTGGTTAGTAAAGAATGAAGATCGGGATTTAACAATGCGGAGCCTTTACCAATTCGCATGCGTTTACCTGCTGACTGAAGATTGGCGGATTTTTTGGGCGCTGGTTCGCTCTTGGGCGCTGGCTCGCTCTTAGGCTCCGGCTCACTCTTAGGTTCTGGTTCGCTCTTGGGCTCCGGTTCGCTCTTAGGCTCTGGCTCGCTCTTGGGCTCTGGTTCACTCTTGGGTTCCGGTTCACTCTTGGGCTCTGGTTCGCTCTTCGGTTCTGGCTCGCTCTTAGGCTCCGGTTCACTCTTGGGCTCCGGTTCACTCTTGGGCTCAGGTTCGCTTTTGGGCTCTGGTTCACTTTTAGGTTCCGGCTCGCTCTTGGGTTCTGGCTCGCTCTTAGGCTCCGGTTCACTTTTTGGTTCTGGTTCACTCTTTGGCTCTGGCTCGCTCTTCGGCTCCGGTTCGCTCTTTGGCTCCGGAGTTGTACTCTCCGGCTCACTTTTTGGAACTGGTTCACTCGTTGTCGTTGGCTCCGGCTCACTCTTTGGCTCCGCTGTGCTATTAGGCTCTGTTGTTTTAGCAATTTGTGTTGTTTTTTGTTGAATAGAATAGATTTGTGTGCTTCGTGTTAGGTGCGGGTTTGAAAGAGGTCAATAGTAGTAGAAGCGCAACAAGGATAGCAATAACAAAATGCAGTAAGATTCTAGTACGCATCTCTAGAGGATCTGCAGGGTAACGTGTTCTTGCCACTACTCGTATTAGCTCTTCAGTCTCTAATTCTAACTATGTTGCAGGTGCACAAATGTTGATATATTTCAGACTCTTACCTGTAGCTTGGCGGCGACTGCGTCCGGATTTGGTGCTAACGCGATAAGAGACGCTGGTGGCCACTGAGGTGACACCGTCTATGTTGGCCAGCTCATCCTCGTGCTTGGCTACACGCTTGGCCTTGCTGCTCGGCTCGGCACTGGGCTCGGCGGTTGGCTCGCTCTTGGGCTCTGGTTCGCTCTTGGGTTCCGGTTCACTCTTGGGCTCAGGCTCACTCTTGGGCTCTGGTTCGCTCTTGGGCTCAGGTTCACTCTTGGGCTCCGGTTCGCTCTTGGGCTCTGGTTCGCTCTTGGGCTCTGGTTCGCTTTTGGGCTCTGGTTCACTCTTGGGTTCCGGTTCACTCTTGGGCTCTGGTTCGCTCTTGGGCTCTGGTTCACTCTTGGGCTCTGGTTCGCTCTTGGGCTCTGGTTCGCTCTTTGGCTCCGGTGCACTTGCGGCGCTCTCCAGCGTTGTCGTCAAGTCTCCAATGTCTCTCAATAGCGGAAAATTCTTGCACTCAGGGGTCATGCCACGCGGACGCCAGCCGAAGCCCACCCAGGAGGTGCTGTTCACCTTGAGCACGACCTCGATCTCTTTCTGCTCTTCCAGCAGACGCCAATACATGTGATAGTCGGGCGAGAGCTCCTTCTTGCTGTAGCCCGACAGATCGAGGTTGGTGGACTTGTAGGGCGAGCGCTTGTTGCAGCCAATGCCGTGCCAGCCGAAGTTGCAGAAGCATTGGCGACGCGGCAGTGAGGTGGCATCCAGATCGATGCACTTGCCCTGGGCACCGCAATCCGCATTGGTGGTACACTCGTCGTGGTACTGGCACTGCGGCCCGTAGTAGTTCTTCTCGCACTTGCAGCGCGAGGGGAAGTATTTGCCTTTGCCGGAGCAGGTCTCCTTGAAGTCCTTGCGCTGCTTGATGTCCACATCCGCGCAGGACCAGAACCGGTAGCTGCCCGACCACTCATCCGCCTGACGCAGCAGACGCAGCGTACAATTGTAGCACTCAAAATCCTTGGGTATGCTCACCTGATACGACTGAGCGCTGTGGATGAGATGAGGGAAGAGACGAGGGGCTTAGTCGGCAGTATATAGAACTGGGTCTAGTTCATAACTTACGTGACAGATGGGGTCACGAATTCCGAGTTGTTGACATGCGGTGTCAGATCCAGGACGGGTCTGTCGAGCGCATCCAAAAGTTGCAGACGAAAGCCGCCCTAGAAACAGCCATGGAACGAACTATTTAATAAAGCTCCAATTGCGCATTTTGAGGGGGAAGCTCGTTGTATTTCGCAAACAATGACTGAGAACTTCACTGTCTGTCTGTCTGTCCGCCTGTCTGTCCGTCTATCTGCCTGTCTGTCAGCCAGCTAATTCCCATTGGTTTTTCAATTATGGGAACTTCTAACGCAATACGCTTGACTTTGAGTCGCTGGGCCGCCAGATACTATCTATCTATCCAAGTATCTAGATGCTCGTGCTCTCTGGTGGTGCATGTGAGGCAATCATTACGACATTTACGCTGTTACCCACTATGATGCACATGTCGGGCTAATTATGTTTGACAGAGAGATAAGAACATGGTTTTGCATTGTGGCTTGATTGCCCCAACTTAATGGCCCCAAAAGGTTTTGCAACCAGACTACAGACAACGGGCAACAGACTGAAGACTACAGATCCACTTACCCTGTGCGCAAAAGCCAAATGCCAGGTGACATTAAACACGGAGCCCGACAGCAACGAGGTGCGTATGGAGCCTGTAAATAAAAACAAGTTGAGAATGAGTGTATTTGGAATTGGAAGACTTGATATATGTGGCATTTGCTACGATTTACCATAATGCAAGAGTTATCTAACACTTAACAGTTAGACATGGGGTTTAAGATCTAAATCGATTTTATAATATAATAAATAAGATATTTCATATTGGTTGACCAGAGGTAAGCTAAGTTGGATTCTAACAAGCTGATAGATGATTTTTTCTATTTTAATATAATAATAATTATATAATAATCACTTCACAATTGATTTGACTTGAGCTAGTTTCCAATTCTCAGAATTTTCTTTCAAATTTCCCCCACGATCCCGTATAGGCCAGGTATCAATAGCTAATGAGAAGCTATTGAAATGTGGTTCGTTAAGTGCAGAGTGCTAGACATGCAGAAACGGAATTGCAATGCCAATGATGATTATTGCTTAGCGCATTATGACGATGCTGTTTATCAGGCCATGCAGTTGGGCTGATCAGGCAGCACAGCGAGAGAGAGGGAGAGGAACAGAGAGGCAACTCGCAATTGGCCTAACTGAAAATATGTAACGCATAATTAAATGTTTTGCCAGCACTCAAGCTGAACTGGTTTTGTGGTTCTGCATTGCGTAGCGCAACGAGCAAAGTGGCCAGCGGTGTCTATAGACTGCGACTGCGACTTTGAGAGGCAATCATGATGTGATCCATGGCGCTGATGTGGCGCACCTGCGTACCAGATTCCAGCAATTGCAATAGGCGCAACGTTGCCCAGTTGGCCAGTTGGCAGCTCTCGGCCCAGACCCAGGCACAAGCCCAAGCACAAGTCCAAGCCCAGGCAGAGAGACACACAGATCACAGAAAGCCACACACAAGTGCCACACACATCTTCGCTTTTCAAGTTTTTCTGCTGGCTGCAGACAAATTTCATATGCTTACAACTATTGCATAAGCTCAATGCGGTAACCTCCTCAACCAGCTGCAGCTGGGCTAGAGCCAGTCGGCCAGCGAGCGGCGGGTGGCGGGCACACTGTACGGTGGACACTGGCAAAAGTGGGCAATCGAATGGCCAAGCGCAGATCGCACATGGCACATCGCACATCGTTGTCAGCCAATACATGTAAGATGCGAGCCGCGAGTCGCTAATTGAAGCTATTAAATGGCCATAACGATACCCCAGCGAGCGAAAAGCGAAAGCCCCTGCTCTATAGAGGAGACAGAGAGTGAGGGAGGGAGAAGGCTGTTTACAGGTCTCACTTTCCAGTCAGCGTTACGACAAGACAAATAAGGAAGCTGCAAAATTATGATTACTATTGCCGGCTGTTGCTCTTGGCCATCTCCAATAGCTGTATGTGGCCTAAAGACCTGGCCAAATATTGAGTACTAAGCACTAGCCACGTGAAGCCATTCAATTGCCGCAGTCTTAACTCAGTTTGACCAATATGGTCAGACAACAACAACAACAACAACTACAACATTTAACATAGAAATAAACTCTTCGTCTTTGTCTCCAACTGCCACTTGGCTGTGTTTTTGTCTCTCTGCTGTCAATGATGTCGCTGATTACAAGTAACAGCAAAAAAGAGAAGCAAGCAACAAGGCTGCATGCGACTACAATATACCCTGTAATAGGCAGTCAAACGCCCTTAGCAGTCTGTATAAGCTAAGTTTAAATACTTCGTGAATTGTCTAAGTAAAGATTTCTTTAGAGTTCAATATAGTTTGTCGAAAAATATAGGAAAATTATAAATTATAATATATATAAATTATAAAAAAAAAACATTTTAATAATGAATAAAAAATAATTTAAAAAAATCGAAAAAATTTAAACGAGAAAATGTTAATTAAGTAATCGGACTATGAAGATCTCTTGCTCTCTCTTCTCTTGCTCTCTGATCAATATGTAGTCTTGTTCCTACCATATCCCAACTATAAAGGTTATAGAAGTTTCCAACTCTCAGCAAAAGTCCCACAACTCTATCATACCCACTCACTTACACCTTTAGAGGGTATGTATAAAATAAATTAAAAAAGGCAACAAACTTTATACAGCTGCGTGTCAATGGACATTACGGCGACTTTTGTAGGTCAGCAATTGAATGCGACTTTTGATTTCAATGGCGCAATTTTTCTCGACTTCGATAATTCTGAACACACACACACACACACACACACAGAAACTGCAAATGGCAATTTCCGCACCTGCAAGCCAAGTGGACCAAACATTTTCACATGGCCAACATGAACAAGAAAAATTAAAAACAAAAAAACTTAAATATGATTTTAAAGACTGAGAAAATGGGTTAAGTTGAGGTGGAAACAGCGAAAAAAAACTAAAATATGAAAAGACTTGAACAATAAATCAATGGAGCACATTAATAAGTTGAGAAAACAACAAGCGCAGCAGTAAATACATATACATTGCACATATATATACATATATAATATATGAATTTTTGGGCGTAACCAGTTGCCTAAAAGCTGGAAGCTGGGAATACGCAGCCCAGAAATTGGCAGGTGCTGCTGCTGCTTTTGATTTTTCTCATATAGAGCCGACACATCTCCGTTGCTCTCCCTCTCTGTGCCACTCTCTGCTCTGGTCATTTTCATATTTTGCTTCGGTTTACAGTCTGTCATATTTCTCACGAGCGCGAAAGTTGTTCACCTTTGATTATTTTGTTTTGGAGGCTGCGTTGCATGAATATCGAATGTTGAGCTTGAACTCGCCGCTCGTCTCGCTCGCTTTTCGAAAGTTTCCAAGAAAACAACAAATAATAATAATAACAACAACATTGATAATGATAATGATAATGATTCTCAACAAGTGTTTTGCTTAGTCTATACAGTCAAATTATAATAAAATATGAAAATGGAATTTTAAAGATGAAAGGAAAACAACAACAAATTATTTAAATTGCAATTAATTGTGAAAAAAAGGCAATTTTTTGTTGTTGTCGTTTTTTTTTTCCTTAATGATGTCTTGATTGATTTTGCTTCAAATATATCGCTTTAATGATCAGCATCATTGATGAGCTACCGAAAATTGAGGGAAATGAAAAGTTATCGAGGCTTTGTTTGGGCTGGGTTTTTTGCTTTTTACAGTCAAAACTAAAAATTTATGCGTATAAAAACATGTTTAAGATAATCATTTTCAGCTATAATTCATAATTATTATTGGTAAAGTCCAATGAGAAACGTTCGTATTGCCGCATTCCATTGTTCAGACATTCCAGACCATTGATGATTGTTTAATCGATTGCCATTCGCCTCTCGATTAATAATACTGATTGAACTTAGAAGTATGTATAGTATATTACATAATTACAGGGTATTAGAAGCAGAATGAGCAGAATATTTAAATTTTTTGTTGTGTTTCAAGTATGTAGAATTCTTCTAAGGATATGTCGATTCAGAAATGCACAGCCCCGCTTAGAGCTTTGGGTATATGCTAGTCGTACACACCCGACTGGACTACGCTTGCGTATATCACTTTATATAATTCTACTCTCGACAGTTATATAACAAATTCGAACATTAGTAACTCAACTTGATTTCAAACTCTATATCGAGTTATTCAAGATGATCTATAAAAATCGCATAAGCTTATCTAGTTCTCAACTCTGCCTTCCCATAAATTTGACATTTGGCATGCCAGCCTGAGCGTAAATTTCAACCTAGTTTTACAAGCGGCTGTATATTTTATTAAGAAATCGCAACGTAAACTTCTTTCCTGTTTGACATCCATTCTGAATGAAATATTCGCATTTTGAATGAAGCAAAGTAAATAAATTATTCGCTTATCGAGATTGAAATCTTAAACTGTATAATGCGGAATGACTTTAATGCTAAATGAGAGTGCTATTAGCATAAATATCTTTCAGCTGCTGAGCCATGGACAAACGCTGGCTAGCTAACGGTAACAATTTAATAAACTTATCAATTATATAATGCTAATCATAGCTATTAAGTTAATTGCAGTTCTCTCGCTTTCGAGAATTGAAAATTGTGTAAAAGATAATTCGCAAAGTGTTCTCGCTGTTCTCGCAGACTTTCCGAGGAGTTTCGGCCACTCACTGGGTATATACATATGTCGATATATGTATGTATGTATAGGAATTGTCTTGGCTTTTGCATCATTTTCATAATGGTATGCTCGGCAGCAGGCAGTCGAACCTTGAGGCCACTGGGCTTAGTGCAGTGGAAAGGCAGGATGGAATGTGTGCCTGTGTGCATTCTAATTGCAGTGCCGCTTGCATGACCACCAAGCGCCCAGCCAGTGGGCGTTGGAGGCGTGGCAGTGGCAACTGCCAACATGGCTGCCAAATATGGCGTGTCGCTGCAAAGCCAAACACTTCCGCAAACAAATGCATACATATAAACCTACACATACACATACATATACACACACACATATGCATTTGCCACCACACGCTCACACTCCTCCTGCTGCTGCTGTTGACAAGCCAAACTCGAGCCAGGCCATTTATTTTTGCCGCCACTGTTGTCTGCATGGACGTCGGCGAGTGTAACATGCCATAAAATGCAATTTTCTTTGGCAACCCCAAAAAGAAGAAACAAAATAACAACAACGTAACATTGCCACCGTTTCATTTGCCGCAACGTGGCAAGTAGATGTTGCACTTACATCTCGCATTTGCATTTGCTTTGGCAACTGGTAGCCGGTGTTAGCTGGTTAGCTAGTTACCTGGCTGGCTCTTTAGCTGCTATCTTTTGGCCCGCTTGTGGTCAAGGAGTTTTTCGCTTTAGTTAATTGCTCGTGACGTTGTCTTAGCCAACACCGCAGGCGTAGCAGCGCCTGCTGCGGTTGGTATTTATGGCATGCCACACGATATGTATCGCATATATGTGGTATATACACGGTAAAATATTGCGCCTAGCTTATCAAATGTAAAAACTTTAAATTCTTTAACAAATTGAAGCTAAATTTAGCTTGAGTTAATTTTAGAGGACTTTTGAATAGCTTTAAATGGATAATTCTATACTTTTGTTGCTATCGTTATTTTATATAGACGAAAAAGCATAGATCAAATTGATGAGTGTAATTTAATATATTAATTATAATAATATTTAATAATGTATATAAATATGTATAAAACTATACATTTTGTTGCCTTTCTTTAAATTTATCAATCTATAAAAACTCAGGAAAAATAACCAAAAATCAAAGCTCTTCATTGATTTATTTCATATATGGCAAAAAGCTCTCAAGTGCTTTAGACTAATTGATGCAATAAAGCTCGCTTAAGCTTAAAGTTCAACAACATGATAAAACATTTATCGTCAGCAATCCGCTAAAGCTGTCAACAGCTATTAGCATTTGGCTGCTATAAATTTCGCTCAGTGTAGCCTTCTAGTGCACATGCTCGTCACACGTTTGCCATTTCAAATGCCATTTGTAGAGCGCGCTCTCATTGATATTCTGTGGCATTTTTTTTATGGGTCTAGTGCAAGTGAATGCTGTCGCTGTCGCTGCTGCTGCCGCTGCCGCTGCCGCTGCCGCCGTTGCTGCTGCTGTTGAGATTTGTATGATAATTTCAATGCGACATTTCAGTTAACAAATGAATGGCCATTGGAAATTGAAATATGAGCGTGGCACGAGCAAAAACAAAACATGAAGAAATACAAAATAGAAATAAAACCGAAACGAATCCAAACGAAACGAAAACAATTCAAGTCGCTGCAGATGCTGATAAATGGCTCTTGAGAAATGTTTAAAAAAAATGAAAAAAGGAAGATATATAAATTGAGATGATAAACAGTTTTGTATAGCTGAAGCTCAGCTTGGGCTATAACATATTTTTTAATGCACGTTTATGAGGCTGCACTTCATATATATATTTTTTTTTTGGCTAATTATAGAGCGTAATTACGGTCAGATCTTTGAAGGGCCTAAGCGCAATATAAAGTGTGACACAAGGCAGTTGGACAGAGACAGGTAGACAGAGAGAATGGGAGAGGGAGGCCACAACTTGACCTCCATTTGAGACAGTTACAAAAGTTGAAGAAGAAGAGGTAAATCAAACGAAGACATTTGGCCCTTAACAAGCGCAACGAGTGTTAACAAATTGAGTTACAAGCCAACAAAAGAAGAAGATGAAGAATAAGTAGAAGAAGGCAAACAAGAGGTCAAAAGCGTCAGTTCAATGAGGCTGCCACAGATTGTGGCTGGTGGCACTTGCAACAGCCGCTAGACAGCGAGACGCAGAGAAACGCTGCCACAACAAATGCGGTCACTGTTTGTTTTGATACAGTTGTTAACTTGCATCATCTTGCAGCATCTCTGAGGCTGTCTCCCCTGCCGCTGTAGCTGCCCCCTCTGCTACTGCGGCTGTCTGTGTGTGGCGCAATGCCGATATATATATGTACATATATATATGTATATATTTGTATTCACAACATAAGTGAAAGTTTTTCACTTGCATGCAGCTTGTCAATGTTGTTATTGGCAGCATATATCATCATCATCATCATCATCATCATCGGCATCGTCATCAGCGGCAGCAGTCAGCCGCGGTTGCAACTAGCCAATTCGCATTGGCCAGCCAAGCGACGCCTTGCGCAAAAAAAAAATAAAATAAACCGTTGAGGAAAAGCAGAAAAAAGCCGCAAACGAAGGCAAAAGTTGTCATGGCCCGAAATGGGTTAAACGTGCAACCAGTAGGCAGACAGACGGACGAACAGATAGACAGACAGGCAGCCAGCCAACAGCAGGTCGCGCTTGCAGCGCCACAAGCGGCGCACGTTGCGTATACGCAATGCGCGCACTTGTATATATAATTAAAAACGTAAGCGCCGAAAAAAAGATTTGGAAAAAATATATACAAAAATGTCGTTGAGCAAGTGTGCAATGCACAAGTCTCTCCCTGTCTCTCTCCCTCACTCTGCCTATATATATATATACATATGATTATATGGTATAATATGCGTACTTATAAGCAACCATAAAATTGATTTGGCATTTTGATGCGACACACGTGTGCCTGCTATGTGTGTGTGTGTGTGAGTGTGTGTGTGTGTGCGCACCCAAGGCAATCGAATTTCAACTGCTTTTAGTTTAATTAAAATATTTATATGTGCTGCCAAATATACACATATGTATATATATATATTCATGTGTGCATATGTTTATCTGTATATATTAATCTGTATTGTGTGCTCAGATGAAGCCACATCAAATGTCAAAAAACTTCAAAGAAATCAAGTGGGCAACATTTTTGAAAGTGTTTGAGGCTAACAGATATGCAGGCAATAAAAAAATACAAATAAGAACACATTGAGATGAACAAAAAGCTGAACGAATAGATACCCTGTAATGGGCTAGTGTTGAAGTATTTTTATGAATCATATATATATATAGATAGATATTGGTATTGAATTGCCTTCAATGCATTTATCGTCGCTTAAGTTTACTCGTATTTTCAAAGAGTCTAATTTATAATCGAAGCCTTAGCTTAGAAATCTCAGCTTTAAGGAGAATCATGATATGAATTCAGGTGTTTGCAGTGTACTTCAGTTCACAGCTTTTAGTATATCAAGTAGGCACTCAGCTCATTTACAGGGTATTTATTTAATATATCCAAATAAACGAATGATGGCCCAATTTTAAATATGCGCCTGAAGTGAATGGCGTCTGCTGCCTCTCTAACATATGCAAATTAATTGGTAACACTTTGCTGCAACAACAACAACAACAACAACCGCAACAATAACTACAACAACAACAATAACAACTACAACTGCATAACAATAATAATCAGAGTTAAGTAAGACGCAACAATACAAAACTTCAAAACTGAACTGAAACTATGAATTGTTATGCAATGCATCAGTGTGAGTGTGTGAGTGTGCGAGTGTGAATCATAAAATGCATGAGTACCACTCATGAATGATCGCTGTATGCACATGCGCACACATCTCCATACAAATATATGTTTCATAAATGAAACTGTAAATTGAGCGTGCACAGCCAATTTAAATGCTACCCCAATCTCAGCCTCTGGGCCAATACCACTCCAATGATGATCAATGGGTATTATGCGAAGTCTTAACACCAAAACTCGAAGCGTGCCTCGAAACGTAAACATTTCGAGCTTATTATTTGATGACTAAACTAAAGCAAAGCTAAATAAATAATATTATTGTATTATGGCTGTTTGTGTATATGTGGAGCATACGAACTGCTACGTGCCTTAAAGACTGAAATTGTTTCTGGCCGAGACTTCGACCGGTGCCAGACATTTGCAAGACAAAAGAATGCAAACAAAGAAATTCACGGTGAATAAAAAATATATATATTAAATATATATTTTAGAACGTTTTGCTTTACCAAAACTGCAAAAGATTGCGTAGTTCTTAAAATGCTGCATTTGAGTGTTTTTTTCCTTGAGAATAAAATATTATAGGAATATATATCGAATTATCTTTGGAGAAAATATCAGACTGAGGCCCAGTTTGATTTCCCGCCACAAAATATAAATTTATTATCATTATATATAATTGACTTATTAGATATATTGTTAATATTTATATTATTACGCTCCAAAAGTATTTGTAAATATTCCAAACTTATCAACCTACAATAGACCTAATAAAAAGAAATGAAAATAATATAAAATATTTATATATAATTAAATATATATGTATATGCACATTATATACACATATGTATATAATCCCATAGAAAGTTCTCTATGCCAAATAGTTGTGTTAATTACAGATTAAGAACAGCTTAAAATAGCTCCTCAGCTAAGATTGAGCATTTGTCAGCTTAAGCAAAAGCTGAGGATGACGGAAAGATTTGCTTTTAAGATTAAGGCTAAGTAAGAAGCTTAAGACTCTTATGGGAGTCCAGTCAAAAGCTCTTGGCCACATTTGGTTAGCCAAGACGATAAAGTGGCACAAAAGGCGCCAAGCAGCTGCAAGTGTTGGCCCATACAAAAACCAAGAAATAAAATATAAAAAAATCAACAACAAAAAGGAAAACCGGCCATAATTCCCACGAGTTGCTGGCCAAAGAGTAAGGAAATAAATAAAAAACGACCAAACACAAGTCAAATATTATTTATATGGTAAAAAAATGAAGTTGGCAAAAAACAATTTGTAGGCAAATGCTGAGGCTGAAGGCTAGACTTAACTCTACAGCAGCTGCCCGCTGGCAGCGAATGCAGGTCAGATTGCCAGGAGTTTTCTCAGACCCACTTTTACCCCGAACGAACGAGCACCCGAATGAAAATGGAAAATGGAACTACAAATCGAAATACAAGTACAAAAAAATCTTACCTTTGGGCATGCCGCAAGGCGCCTTTGTGCGCGCATTGTCCAAGAAATCCAGGTCCAGGCGGCGAGCAGGTGGGTACGTGAGGGCCACGTGTGCCTCGGCGCCCAAAGCCAGCCAGATCAGAGCCACGGCGAAGGCGGCGCACAGACGGCCAGTGGCCACGCCCACCTCAACACTTTTATTAATTGACATTATTGTCGGATGCTGATGATTGTTTGTTATTGTTGTTTGCTGCTGTTGTTGTTGCTGTTGTAATTTATTTGCGAATGTTGCGTATTTGTTGTGTTGTCGAGTCTCTTTCGCATTAGCTTTTCGAATTGTATTGTAAATCAGAAATCACAAATGATATAACAAACAACCATAGAGATCACACCTTCAGTTACACAGGTGTGTGGCTCGAGCAGCTGGCCAAAGACATGAATTATTGACGCATTTTTGAACGTTTGTTTCTTTAACAATATCTGCAAACGAAAAGAAATAAATAACAAATTAGTAAAGGGTGAATATAAAAGGTGTAAAAGGTGTAAAAGATGTGTACAGATACAGATAGAGATAGAGATACAGATACAGATACAAATACAAATACAAATACAAATACAGATACAGATACAGATACAGATACAGATACAGATACAGATACAGATACCTCGTTTGCCAAGAGTTATATACGGTATATACGAATATATTTATTACTTATGCGTTATTAAATGAGTTATTTTTATGGCATGCCAAAGTCAAATTGCATAATTTGCGCAGCTCTAAAAAATTACTTATTGCCTGTTAACGCAGTGCTCAAAGTACGCTTATGTATTGGGGTGCGAGTGCGATAGCAAGAGTGAGGGCGAGCAGTTGGAGTGGGCTTATGCAAAAAAGCGAAAAAATGCAAACTGGCAAAAACAATGCAAGGAAATTTTCTCAACCCACAAATAGATTTTCATCATAACAGAAAGGGGCAGCAAAAAAAAAAAAAAATAACTATCCAAGACAAATGTGTTGAAAGACATTTTTTGGGGCGCCTGTTGACAGACTTTTACATGGCGTGTAATAAAGCCATTAACCTAAACTCCAACACAAACTCAAAGCCAAATTCAAATCCAAACTCCAGGCCAAAGACCCAAAACTGAAGCCGACTCTCGATATTGGCTGCAACTTGAAAAACGTCAACAGATTTGGCCATTGGACAGCGCTGAGCTGCGTGTGAAACTCAGGTTCAATGTACAGTGAACACTCTATGCGAGTGACGCCTTCACTTCAGTTGAGTTTGGGGGAAGTGAAATCGAAGGTTGATGTTTTTTGGCCGTTCAACAAACTAATCAAAGCCAATGACAGCTGCCAAAGCAAATGACATGCCTAACACGGGCCACAAATCGGCGCCAGTTACCGCAGCTCAGAATTCCGCAGAGCGTGAGTGCTGCACAATTGGGATACCCTGGAAAGTACTTAGTAGAGCAGGAGTAGAGATGAGAATTGCAGCAGAGGGAATTGGTATGAGTATTGCTTGGAATGAGCTTTAAGGCGAATAATATTAGCTAAAGAACAAGCCGATTTTAACTCCGCAATTCATAGGGTCTTGGTAAAGAGAGATTTGCCTGAAATGAGTCATACTTTTATTTACCATAAACAGTTATGCCTTAATGATGTTATTAGACCTGTATAGAACACCTAACAGCCGTATCACATCTGATTTCACGTTCTAGTTGCAACTTTACTAACAGCAAACTAAAACTCTTAGCTAAAATAGAATCGATTTGTGGATCAACAAATTCCATTAGTCATTAACAAATTTAAGACATTAGAGAAAATCGAAATTTTAAGCTAAAACTATTTGAATGTAAAACCGTAAAATATGGAAATATTTTAACTGATTAACAAATTCTTTCCAGCCAGATTCAGTGCGAGTTTCCAAAAATTTAAATATGAAAACAAGTTTCAACTAATATCTAGGGTATCAAAACCTGTGAGTTTAGTAGGTTTTTTCTGTTTTGTTTTTTTTTTTTCGAATAAATCCATAAATAAGTTGAACCTAAACTGTGGCAGCTACCTGCAAAACATAGCTGAAAGCTGTCAGGTGGGCGTGGAAAATCTCAACAAATCTCAGCAGATCTCAGCGGATCTGGCCAACAAATGGTGTCTTAAATGGGCGTCTCAAATTTGTGCTGTTGTGGCACAAGCGTTTCTATTTTTGTTGGTTTGTTTAGTTGTTTTTTGTCCGTTTTGCCGTTTGTCGTGTCTCGAATTGTTTTGATATGGAAAATTGTGGCTCGGTTTTTGACGGGCAAATTGCATGTGGCAAGATAAATGAACGCCAATTGGTGTTAGTTGGTCGTGGCAGCAGCTAACCAAACAAATGATTGGCAAAAATGACTACAATTTAAAATAGAATTGGAACGACGCAAAAAAGAAAAAAATAGAAAAAATATATGTAGAAGAAGCAGCAGCACCAGTTGGAGCCACAGCCAACTACAGCTAGAGATGACGATGAAGATGTGGACTCTTGACCATTTGCACGTTCCACTTTGCAGTTGGCGACGTCTCGCAATTAAAGTCTGTGCCTGGACACCCAAAGCAATAATCTAACCAGTCATTGTAAAATGCCAAACCCAAAAGCAACAACAACTCAGATATATACTATATATGTGTATATATATATGTGTGTGTATATAAGCCGTAACGGTAGCTCGACTTCCGAACAGCTGTTTTTTTGTCGAATCTATTCGGTCTGCCTGGCTTGTTCATCATGTTTTTTCTTCCTCTTTATTTACTTGTATATTGTATGTTGTAGTAGTTTTTTTTTTATTATTTTTATTTCGTCGAGGCCTGCCTCGTTTGGCTACTCTAGAAATTGTCTGGCATTGAGAGCAGCAGCGACGGTGACGACGACGACGACAACTGTGACTGACGACTGACCACAAAATGCTTGACATTGAACTACATACATATCAAGTTGGCTAAGGCAGAGACAACACCAACAGCAACAGCAATGGCAACAAATAATTGGCTAAGTGCACATGTAAACAAGTAATGAGTGTAATTGCTGACAAAGAGATACCCTGTATTATGCCAACAGCGGAAGAGAGAGCGAGAGACAGATTAAGAAGAAATCGCTGGAGATAGAAAGAGAAAAAGCTGATGAAATAGAGGAACTGAGTGAGAACTGAGACAGACAGAAAATGATATATCAAGAGAGAGAAGATGAAGAAGAAATAGACAGATAGAAATATAAATGAAGTCAGAAAGAGAGAGGGAGAGAGACGGAAAGACAGTAGGAGAGGGAGAGACAGCGAGAGACTGAAATTTGCACTATATAATAGATATATAATAAATCTAAAATCTTGATTTCATTAGAATGCTGTAGAAGTAAATACATATACGCCTAATAAATATTTATATATTTGTTATTAATATATATATTGTATACATATAAATATATGGTAACACAGATTTGATTACTTTAGATTTTTACAAGAAAATTTTACTATATTTGAATTTCTTCAGCAATTTCTAAGCTACCAATTAACCTCATATACCCATCGTAATACATTCCACTGCAGGGTATGGAGTAGGCTAATAAAAATAAACTAATTAAGATAAGGTAAACACAAAATGAGAAACTGCTGTCGCAGCATTGGGAAAAAAATTAATTGAAAAAATATTTAGAGCATAGATTAAAGCGGATCCGCAAGTGGGTTAGAACCAATTGGCCATGCCTAGAGGCTCGAGCGGGATGGACAGGTGGAGAGGCCGCCGGGCAGGGTGTTGCCTAGAGGGAAATACCATGAAATTGTAGCTGACCCGCATCAAATTTTGTGCCCGATGTTTGTTCAGCGGTTTTCGCTTTTACTTATTTTTTAGTTATTTAGTTTTTGTTGTTAACGCAATGTGCCCACATTTTTTAATTTCCACGTGCTTTCTTATCCACCACTGGGCCAATTTAGCTGCACAGCTGGAAGCAGCAGGCAGCCAAAGATACAGATACACACACACACACAGACATAGAGATACATATACAGATGCAGATACAGCTATAGCATCCACTACGAAAGATAGTTTTTCTTTGTTTTTCCCTTGGCTTTTCTCGTATGTAAGCACGCAATGAGTTGGTTAAATTTCTATCGTTACATAACTGCTTGGAGTGCATGCTGCGCTGGGTAATTATGTAAAGCTAATTAATTAGAATCTGGGCCTAATTAGCATTAATTGTTGCAGCTGCAAGTCACATGCAATTAAGCCAACAATTCAACATGAGATGCATAAAAAAAGAAGTTCTCTTGAAATGCAAACACTTGACTTTGTTGTGATTGCCGTCGGCGTTGTTGTGGCTGGCCGACTGGCTGGCTGGCTATCGATTATAGCCAAGACATAAACATTTTGGCCACGCTACAAGCTAACAGCAACAACAACAACAATAACAACAGCCAGCCAGAAAAAATGCAGTCCAACTGGTTACGAAATATTCGAAAAGCTCATTCATGTTCAGCTTGAGATACAATTTTCAAAAAAAAAAAAAAAAAAACAACACAACACAACAGCTCAAATAAAACGTATACAAATTTGTACCGCCAACATCGACTGTGTGTGTGCGTGTGCGTGTATGTGTGTGTGCCCAGCAACCGGTTGCTGGGCCATAACAAAATAGTCAACTATTAATGGTTTTACGATAGATACTCACACCAGCAAACGGCCAAACAAGTGCGGCCAAGTGTGCAAGTATCTGTATCTGTATCTGTATCTGTATCTGTATCTCTGACTCGAGCTGAAGCTGCCGCTGTAACTGTAACTGTATCGAATGTGGCAGCTTCCTAGGGAAACAACGCGCAATTTGTGAGCGCGCGCTCCAATTTTTAACAAGAAATTACCAAAATTAGAAAAGAGTTTGCAAAAAGCAAAACGAAATTAAGTAAAAGACTTGAAATTGATTTTCAATTGAGCCTTTAAAGTTGTGTAATGGCTCTCAAGTGTATAGAGCACTCGAAATGTATCTATTTATATTAAATATGAGGCGAGCAACAGGTAGAAGCGAAAAAAATTTGCTGTACAACAATTTTTTAATGGTTAACTTATTGGCTGATATAGGTATAGATCTTGAATCTTGACTGCCTAGAAAAATTATAAATAAATGTAATAAATATATATACACTATAAACTAAACTCTTTAAATATTTAGCTTGTGTTCGCTGTGTTTTAAATGTAAATATAAGAAGATACTCTACCACATTTCTAGCTATTGCAATTGAGAATATTTATTATTATATTTTTAATTAAAGTGGCATACATATTTTGCTTAAGAATATTATAGCTTTTAATATTATATAACTATTTTTTTTTTCAGTGCGTCAGCAATTTAAATATTTATTGTTTTATGATCTATAAATATTCTCCAAGAAATGGTTTTGTTTTCCCTTTAAACCAATTTATATTCATAACATTTCATTTGCAGTACGTTGTTGCAATATTAATTATC